ACGCTGGGTTCCTTGGAACCCAGGGGCAAAAACTAAAAAAAATTTCTGTTTTTTGTTTTTTGGTTTGGGTTTTGTGTTTGATGATGAGAAGAATTGATTGACGGAGAAGGTAAGGCAAGGAAGAAGAAGGAGAAAGGGTGCTTGTTGGGTTCGATTGAACCCAGCACCTGGGTTCCTTTGAAGAATTGATGTTTGATGAAGAATTGATGTTGGATGAGGAAGGAGAAGGTGATGTTTGATGAAATATATATATATATTTATGTGTTTTTGTGGATTTTGTTGTTTGATGAAGAATTGATCGATGAAGATGAAGATGAAGAATTGATCGACGAAGATGGCAAGGAAAGGAACAGGAAGGTGAAAGAGAAAGTGGAGGAAAAAAGAAAAATTTTTAAATTTTTATTGCCAAATCATTTTTTTTTTTTGCCATGCTGGATTTCCACGTAGGTTTAATAGTTTAACAGATCATTATACTTCCGTTAGTTAACAGTACACATCATGCGATTTTTAACGGAGGGACCAAGTCGGGGTTAAAATGGTAAACAGTAGGGACCAAGTCAGGGATTTTTTGAGTTGAGGGACTCAATCAGGGGTCCGTACAATAGTTGAGGGACCAAAAAGGGGTTTAACCTTTTGCTTTTGTAAGTGTTTGCTTTTTCTCAATCGGCAAAAGGATAATTTATTAATGGAAAAACGGAAAAACAGGACGTCCTTAACAAACTGTGCGTTTAACTTGGTTTTCCATTCACCCGTTCCCATCTTAACACAACTCGCAGGCTTAACACAACACCCAGGCTTGCATTGCCAAAATCCTTCTCCTCCTCACTCAATCGACAACCAAGGGTTTGATCAAATCTTCCTGGAGGGCAATTAACTACTTTGCAGAGTTTCTTTTTCGTAATTTTTGAAAATTTATAAATTTTGAGTGTCTGAAATCTTGAACCTCAAAAGTTTACCAACTCCTTCAAAAGCCTCCATCTCATTTCTCACACTTCGATTTCGATTACATTTCTTTCTTTCCGCAGATCTCTTGGGTACCCACAAGATTTCCGTTTGGCACTTGTTTTCTTGCTTTACAACTTCAAATATCAAAGCATAAGCTTGATTTGGGTATTTGATGGTTTGAAATTACTTTTGAATTTTGTTTCACTTCGTTCGGCAGAGAAATGGTGGCAACTCCGTTTGTGGTGGGTTCATCGGTGATGGACACACATACCAGTCCATGCTTGTGTTTGGATGTGCTGTCGACAACCACCATGAGCTTTAACATGGCTGGGGCTCTTTTGTGTGTTCTGGTTGTTGTGTAAGGTAAGAACCAAGAATGCCAGAAAGGTTGTGTGTGTTAAAACTTAAAAGAGAAGGGGGTAATGGGTTGTCTAGTGAAACGCCCCGTTTCATCGACGACGTCTTGGCACCAGGGCATCCTCCTGTTTTTCCGTTTTCCCTTTATTAATAGGAATAAAAGAGTAATGGTTCCAGTTTACATAGGCAAAACCATAAGTAAAGCCCCTGAACTAACCCCAGAATCGTTATTAAGCCCCTAGACTTTAATTGATGCAGTTAAGCCCTTGAACTCTGGGATCAAAGCAATTAAGCCCTTCTTCTTAAACTATTTATTTTAAAAATTAAAGTCTAGGGGCTTAATAGTTTAAGAAGAAGGGCTTAATTGCTTTGATCCCAGAGTTCAAGGGCTTAACTGCATCAATTAAAGTCTAGGGGCTTAATAGCGATTCTGGGGTTAGTTCAGGGGCTTAACTTATGGTTTTGCCGTTTACATAAGGTTAAGTAACTTTTTTGGTATCTATTATTGAAAAAGGTTTTTTTCTTATCTGTATACTGAAAAAATACTTTTTATAGTCTATTTAAAATTTTGATCCTTTTTTAATTCTTTTATTAAATTTTTGCTCACATGGCACATTAATTAACATAATCAATAGACATGAAAATTATGTGGATAAAATATAAATCCATAAAAGCATTTTATATTAATATTTTAAGTCACTTATACAAATTAAAAATTTTACTTCTTAATTAATTTATGAATTAAATGAATTAAAATATAATTAGCTTTAATTTCTTCTTCTTCTTATTTCTCCTTATCCTTATCCTCCTTCTCAACCTCGGCATCATCTTCACTGTTCACTTGGCCATCTTCTTTATTATCTTGGGTTCCTCGTTGGAACCTAGTTTTTGGGTTCCTCATGAAACCCAATTGTTGGGTTCTATGAAGAACCTAGCTTCTGGGTTCCTCGGGGAACCCAAATATGGGTTTCGCAAAGAACCTAACTTTGGGTTCCTTGGGGAACCCAGATTTGGTTTTCGTGAGGAACCCAGCTTTTGGGTTCTACGAACCTAGTGTTGGGTTCCTTGCGGAACCTAGGTTCTAGGTTTCTGAGCCTTTTTTTTTCATTTTTTTTATTTTGAATGTATCTATTTTCCATAAAAAGAGCCAAATGAAACCAAAGTTTCATGTTAAATTTTGAATTAAAGACGTTAAGTTTTGGGTTTGTGTTTGATATTTTGGGTTGAAATTGCAGGTGATAATAAGTTTATGGTGTTGTGTTTATGTTGCTATTAACTTCACAACTTGGTTTATCTGTGACTTAGGTTTAACAGGAAGAAAGAGTTGAAAATCTGAAATTAGTGAACGAGTAAAGTCATTCTCTTTTTCATAAAAGAAGTTAGAGTTTACAATATTGAAAAATCATTTTAATTAGTAATTAATTTTTATTTTTATCAATAAAAATATTCGTATGAATTCTCAATTATATCTTGATTAGTCTCACATGTAAATGATTGATCATGAACAAAAAAACAAGACGAAAGATGGAAGATGATATTTGGGGAGGGAATTGGAGAAAAATAGAGAACTTTGGAATGTGGATTTCATCATTTAAGGTTTCTTTTTTTTTTTTTTTCTTCAGGCGAGGAGAGTAACATGGAAGAGGTATTATTAAGTTCACGTAGACATTTTTATACTATGTAATAACCATGTCAAATGTTCTTGTTAAGATAACGTGCCACATAAATAAAAATTTAACAGAAGGATAAAAAAGGAGTCGGATTTTAAATAGTAAGGACCATAAACGGGAATTTTTCGGTATAGCGACCAAAAAAGGGTTTTTTTCAATAGTACATGAACCAAAAAAGGTATTTAACCTTTACAAAAAGCTTTAGTTCTGAAACGAAAATACAAAAGGAGAGTTTTGTTAAGAGATGGTCATTGTCCATTAACATAAAAGTAGATAGATAATTATTTTATTTTATTTTATTATTTATTTTAATTAATTATCTTATCATAAAAATATAAAATTATGTAAAAAAAAATATCAGTTTAACTAAATTAACAAGGCCAAAATACATTAATTTGGTTCAATTCAAAATTTCAATTATTTTAATTATAACCGAATTACACTTAACATTAGAGATTAAACAAAAAAGTGGACTATTTAGGCAGAGGTTGATATGCTAATGATTTGCATCTATTGATACACTATTGTTTTATTTCTTTAACATATATACTTCAACAAAAACTTATGAGAATAAAAAACTTAAGGTTAATTTGTTAATGATTTTTATCTATTGATTCTTTTCTCTTTTTATTTTTTCAGAAAAAAAAAAGAATCAAGATTTAAAATCTAGATAATAGATTTTCCATAAAAAAAAAATCTAGAAAATAGATAACATTTTTAGGTTTAATAGATGAAATTGAAGAAATTGGTGAGGATGACTAAATTAAACCAAGCAAATTATAAGTAGAAGCAGATCTAGTTAATGGCAAGTCTATTTCTCAGCAATCACAAGATTTAACTAGTATTTCTTAGAAGTAAAATATGATTCAAATTAATCAGTTAAAAGTAAGAATCTAAGAATTTACTAAAAAACAATTTGAAAATAAGAAATCCAACAAAGTATAGTGAAGATAAGGTTATGCATCTAAAAAAAGTTTTACATGTCTTTCATTTAATACGTACTTTAATGATAACATAAAGCATAAAATCATGATCGAAGATCTAGCATACCTGCAAGTGCAACAGAAGAAAATGAAGAAAGTAGACACTGATAATCAAATTAATTACGCCAAGCGGATTAGAAGTAGAAGCAGAACTACGCCCTCAATTGCAAGCCAAATTGTATCCGATTATAAGAAAAGGTGAGCCGGCGAAGGAGAAGAGCAAACTTATAGAAGTGATTTAGCTGGTTATTTCTTGGAAAGTGTTGGCGATATGGAAGTGAAATGAATATATGCAAAGTGATCGAAGAAGGTACATTTAGTGTAAGGGTATTACAATAAAGTCATCAATATTATAACATTAAAAGAAAGTTTACAATAAAAAAAAAAAAGAAAAAAGAAAAAAGAAAAAAAAAGACATTAAAAGAAAGACTTAGTGGAAGACTACATAAAAAAACAAAAGCGATGGAAAATAACAGAGTGGGAACAAGGGAATAGCTCGGAATTTTCAAAGCCTCATTCCCTCCTCCTGCCTTTTCGTGTTTCTCTTTTGGAAAAGTTTCACAACCTTGTTTGTGTTCGCATCTAATCTAGCTTTCCCATTTTCATTTTTCGCTATATTTTCTGCTTTGGATTAAGATCTCAAAAATGCCCTTTGACACAACCAAAGAAAGGAGGAAATAAAGTAACGAGGGATTATTTTAATTTTCATGCTTTTCATTTTCATTACTTAA